ATGGGTGAGTTCAAGGCATGGGCAGGCATTCCAAGCAGGTTCAGAATTTGCAGTAATTTATAGTAAAGCCGAAATTAGCTTTTCATGGCTTTGTGGCAAGATGGCTCCCAATTTTAAGAAAAGATCAGGTTGGGTCTATCAAAACAATTTATATTTGCCAAGTATACCTTAATAAAGCTGAGAAAAAATATAATTGCTTCTACATAAATGTGTGAGACTTTTATTTATATCAACATTGTCAAACTACGTGTGTGGGGGGTGCTGGGGATTGAACCCAGGGCCTTGTGCATGGGAGGCAAGTACTCTACCAACTGAGCTATATCTCCAGCCCGTATATGGCTTTTTAAGCTATGTGCATATATAAAAATAAAAACAAAATTCAAATGAACACAAAGCAATATACATTTTGGTACCAGAAACATGCAATTGAAGTTTTAGGTAGATTCAGAAGAAGGCAAAGTGATGCTATCATTATTATCATTCATATTAATGAAATACCTATACCAAGGAACCTTTAGTCACTTATTTTAAGGGTGTTCTTTTTAGTTTTTAGGTTTAGTTTATTTCTTCTTCCTTATTTGAAGTCATTACTAAGAAATGTTTAAAAATTCACTGATGGTAATTTTAATTCTTAAATTTTTAGTTTGCCAGCTTCATTGTGTCCCCAAACTGATGGTCAAATTTTGGTAAAAAGCTATAAAAAACAATGAAAATATGAGAATTTTTATAAGATAATGAATACCAGGTTAAAAAGTGAAGACATTTTGGTCAGTTATCCAGATGTTTTCAAATGTCTGCATGTCGATATGATGTGGATTAAGCATTTGGATGATTGATTATAATAAAATGACTTAATGTCTAAATGCCTGCTGTCAAGTAGACACAGGTTAAGATTTTGTAGTTCTAACAAACACAAAAATTTTAAAAGCCAGTGGGATCTTAGGATTATTTTTCTTTTCACTGAATTAAAAAGAGTGTACTGCCCATCTGTTCATAAATGTTTTACCTAGCCAGGAATAGTCTTCTTAGGTCAGTGAATTGCATTTAATGGTGCAGCATCCTGCACCCCTGTCTTCTGGCAGAAATAGTGGCTCTCAAGCCAGGCCATTATGTATGCAAATGTCTGTAAGTGGCTGTGAGCACTCACTGGCCCTTGACCTTTTTGAGCTATTATGGGGATAATGTAAATGTGTGATTCAAGTTGATGCTGAACTGGATTGTCATGGGCTACAAAATGGTTTCTGTGATTGTGTGCGTGTTTACTTAGGCTGTCTGCTTTCTCTCTCTTCTAGAAAGTTACAGAAAGAACAGTTTCTTTATGGTCACTAATCAACGTCAATAAAGAAAAATTCAAAAACCCCTTCTACACAAAAGAAATCAATCGAGTTTTATATCCAGTTGCCAGCATGCGTCACTTGGAACTCTGGGTAAATTACTACATTAGATGGAACCCCAGAATCAAGCAACAAGTAAGTGAAGTAGCACAATTAAAAGACAGAAACCAAATGTTTACTTCTGAGATTAAATGATGTTATAATTATGAAGGGAAAAAACACTTGCTTTTAAATACAGTTTAATTTGTATATAATTACTAAACCATGGATGTTGCAATTAAATTCCTCTGCCGATGTGAATGTTGTAACTTTTTTGCTCTAATGTAAGGCAATATAAAGCTCCAGAACATCCCTGAGTTTTCACAGCCAGGGGTTTCCTTTACTCACTTGAAGTGGTTACTCAACACATATACACACATGATTAGAAACTTCTTTAAATTGACTAGACTTCAATGATCCTATCAAAGTAACAAAACGTTTTGTGTCATGTGGTTCAAGTGTCTGTACTAGGTCAGCTGTCACCAGAGTGCTTTTTCCTGAGGGCCTCTACTTCTAAAATAAAGATACTGGGTCTGCCAGTGGATAGGAAATTCAGCTGGCCATTTGTCAATCATAAAATAGAAATAAGGATGTTTGAAGGGAAATGCTATGTATTTTATTAAAGACATTTATTTAGGCTTTCCTTTCTCCCACTTCATCCCAAATCCACAGGAAAAAAAAAGGCCTGTTTGTAGAGGCTCAGAAATACCTTCACTTACTGATTTGTTCTAAGCATTATAAATACTCAGTGTTTGTGATGGCTCTTGGTAAAGGTCTGCACTTTTTCTTGGGGTTAGAATGGTCCACTACCTGTTCTCCAGTGCAGCCTAGCACAAGCACAATCTTTAACCCTGCTAGGAGCTGGCCAGCGACTGCCATGTCTCTCAGGTTGCTCATTCCACTCAAACACTAGCCACATGCCAGCCCGTGCTCTCCCTTCTCACTGGGGAGACGCACCCTTGTTTCAAGTTCTCTGCCACTGCATGAAAGGCTTTTGCAATTTGGTGATGGTTGAAATGTGTATACTTTTGAAAAGTGACAGGTTCCAGGGCTTGAGAACATTGACTTGTTTGGTCTGGGATTTGAGAAGTACATTGAGGGAATTTACTTAGCAGTAGCTCTGGAGTTTAGAATATCAAATAAAGGGTAAATGGGAATTTTTTCCAGGGTTCTAATTGCTGGTTCAGAGAACATGTTCCTTTCCTATTACTTTTCTAAATCAATGAGCACTGTGTTTGTCCTATAAAATAAGCCTTTTCTATATTTGTCATGGCTTTTAAAAAAATTATTGGCAGTTACAAAGTATTGGCAGTTTCTGTACAGAGTCTTCTTTGATCTATTTGTACTTGGAAAAATTCTTGAAATTCAAGAAATTTAGAGCAATTCATTTCTCACTACAGAAAGGTAATGATGATAATTTTGTGACAAGTCAAGTTTGGTTTTTGGGTGCTATTTTTTTCCTTTTTCTGAAAGATCAATTTTGAAGGCATATCATTAGAAGAATTTCTATAATATATTCATCCCCTTTATTTCATAGGGTTTAGTAAAATGGAACTGGGCCAGCTAGAATTGCTCATGTTATCTGGTAGAGGTTTTTACTTAGAGACAATCATTGCTTTATATTATGTTCCATTGACATTTACTCAAAAATGAAAATGTCCCCTCTATGTAATTTTCTGAATGTGAAGTATCCTACATACATCTTGATGTTCTCAGGCACGTATATATATTTTCATCCACCCAGTATTGAATATTCCTATGTGTCAGGCACTGTGGTAATACAGAGATTAGGAAGAGGTGGTCCCTGCCCCCAAGAACACCCTCAGGTTAGCGGGGGTAGCCAGTAACATAAGCTGATGATTATAATGCACAAGGATGAATTTGATAATAGAGGTATCAATTAAGAACATCAGATTTTCTTAAAGATCTGCTTATGTAGAACATTATTGCATACAGAAATAGATCAAAGTAAAATTACATGACTTTTGAAATTATATAATATAAATGTATAAGAACATACTTAAGCACTTGAAAATTAAATCATTATTTGATTGTGTGACTCAGAAGGTATACCAATAATTAGTGGACACCTAAAATAGTCACAGCACAATGGTGTACTATCAGCATTAAAAAGACACAAAATAATATACAGCCTTTCCCTAGCTGTTAACTTTGACAAAGACAGGGTTATTATGTCTTTAAAAGCAAAATCCACCAACCCTTGCTGTGACATGCAACTCAGCAGAGCTTATGGAAAGCCCAGTGCTTCCATTTGATGAGCTATCAATAGGAAGATTTGATACTTTTGATATGAGAAAATTATTCATGGCAAAAGTAAAAGTTTGTATTTGTCACATAAACCTGGAATTTAAGCTCCAATGGAGCCTCATACTATACTTTAGGAACGACTGCATTCTATGTAGCTGTTAATCAGGGTTCCACTGGACGCATTCAAATTTTGTAGTGGTAACTAAAGGATGAGAACATGAGCAGTCAGATATTAATAGACTGACCTATATAGTATTTTCAGTTAGAAAATACTAAAATAATAATTCAGTTAGAAAGTTAAAAGGCATATTGACTTCAAAAGAAAAATGAAAAAATTTTGAAGCCTAAAAATACTTCCATAACTAGCTGATGGCCTGTCTTCTTTACCATGCTGAGTTGGCACACTTTGCTTCATAACTCATTTTCCAGGTCAAAAGTTGAGGCGTAGCCAGGCGTGGTGGCACATGCCTGTAATCCCAGTAGCTTGGGAGGCTGAGGCAGAAGGATTGCAAGTTCAAAGCCAGCTTCAGCAATTTTTTTTTTTTTTTGTGGTGCTGGGGATTGAACCAAGGACCTTGTGCATGTGAGGCAAGCACTCTACCGACTGAGCTACATCCCCAGCCTCAGCCCCTCTTTTTTTTAAATGACTTTATTATTATTATTTTGGTGCTGGGGATTGAACCCAAGGGTGCTTAACCACTGAGCCACATCCCCAGCCTTAATTTTTTTTTGTTTTTGTAGATAGACAGAATATCTTACTTTATTTGTTTATATTTATGTGGTGCTAAGGACCGAACCCAGTGCTTCACATATGCTAAGCAAAGTGCTCTGGCACTGAGCTATAGCCCCAGCCCCAGCCTCAGGAATTTACCAAGGCCCTAAGCAACTCACAAGACCCTGTCTCTAAATAAAATACAAAATAAGGCTGGGGATGTATGTGGTTCATCGGTCTAGTGCCCCTGGGTTCAATCTCTTGTACCAAAAAGAAAATTGAAGTGTAATACTTAAAGTCACCTGTCTTTAAATTGTTATGTCCTTTAAGTTGTTTTCGTTTATCTCTAGGCTAATGGCATCCACACATTTTGTACCCATTACTTGACTGAATTATCTTTTTATTTCTAATAGTTTTTCTGTTTACTCTCAGGTTTTCTAATTATACAGTCATGTCATCTGCAAAAATGACCGTTACTGCTGATTTCTTTTTTTATCTAATTACTTGTCACAAACTAATTCTAATCCTCAAACTGACTCTAAATTCATATGAAAAGGGGAGGCTTTGATAATATAACTGAAACAATTTGGGAGAAAATTAACAACTTGTCCTACTATACATCAAGATTTATATGGAATAAAATTGTGCCCAGAAACATACCCATGTGGATGTGGTGACTTGGTATAGTAAAAAAGTTGCATCGTAGCACACAGAGGAAAGGATAGAGTATTCATTCAGTAAATGGTATTGGGACTGCAAAAACTACAATCCAGAGCTCCTGAAGCCCTGCCCTAAGATCTCCTCCTCCTATCTTCCCCATTTCATTTGAGAGCAATTCCATCCATCCTAGTTGTTCTAGCCAGAAACCTTAGGATTATCCTTGACTCCTTTTCTTTCTCACACCCCAGGTCCAATCTGTCAGGAGAGCCCATTGGGAGTCTAAACAACACCCTGGAGTGGCCACACGGTGGCAGTAGGCTTCTAGCAGCTAGCTGCACTCCCTGAGGCTACCCTTGCTTCCTTTGACTCTCCTCAAAGTGGCAGCCAAAGCAGTCCTTGTAAAGCAGACTTCAGACTATACCATTATTGTATTCAAAACTGGCCAGGTAGCTGCTTACCTCACCTAAAGTCAAGGCCAAAGTCCTTACAGTGGCCACTGGGGCCTTATGTAACCCTCATTGTCCCTCTTTGATCTCCTAGCCTCCTCAACAAGAGCTCTTTCTCTCACACTGTGCTTCAGGCACACTGGCTCCTGCTCTTCCTCAGACACTCCAATATATACTTGGCTCCCTCCTTCATCTCTTCCAAGACTTTCCCCAAAAGTCACCTTTGTCTTCAGTGTGACTCACTCTGTGCACCCAATTTAGCGTGTAACTAGTGGCCCATCCATTCCCCACTCTATTATTCTGCTCTACTTTTCCCTAGTATTGATTATCTATCACCTCATGCCTAGTATTGATTGCCATCAAACATTGTCTCTCTAATAATTCACAGGATTGTTATGTTTGTTGCTTGTCTGTCTCCCCCTGCTGGAAGATAAATGCCATGAAACAAACTTAGTTTACTGATCCAAGTACCTAGAGCAGCATCTAGACCTCAATTGGACACAGTAATGTGGGCAAGGGATATTAATGAGCAGCATTTACTGGGTGTTGCATGCTACACCAAACATCCCTACTCTAAGGCCATATATGTATTTCTGAAAAACCTCACATTGCAAAGTCTCTGACTAAAAATAGCAGTGATTATGAGAAGAATAGGATTAGGAGGAGGAGACCTCTGCAAACCTCTGGACCTTTGTAATCAGAGCACTAATGGAGGTAAAAATTCCAATAGAAATGTGGGTGCAGTTACATTTGCCCCTAGTCTGAGTGGATCCACTCTTTGGCGGTCAGTAGTGGGTTGAATGGCGCCTCATCCTAAAATAGATATATCCACCAGGAAACTATGAATGTGAAATTATTTGAGCTAGGGTACTTACAGTTATAACTAAGTTTAGAATCTCAAAATGAGATCCATCCTTGATTTAGCATGGGGGCTATATCCAGTGATGGTGTTCTCATAAGACAAAGAGGGGAAGATTTGAGACACAGACACAGAGGGGAGAAGGCCACGAGAAGACAGAGGCAGAAACAATAGGGATGCTCTCATGAGCCCTGGAGCTATCATAAGCTGGATTAGACAGGGAAGGATTCTCCCCAAAGATCCTCCAGAGGGCACATGGCCCTGCTGACACCTTGATTTTTTGGTTTCTGCCCTGTAAAACAATGATAGACTCAATTTCTGTTGTTTTAAGGCTCTCACATTTGTATCAATTTGTTAGGGCAGCTACAGGACACTAATAGCAGTCTTAAGCCCCCAAGGCCCAAGCTTGCTTCTCTGTATACAGGGCCTGGAGCAGGCATGTTGCTCCTAGAGACTGCTCTCCTTAGCCTTCTTTGTCACTGCATGACTTTCACAGATTTCTCATTGGTGCTCACAGCTTCAGCACATAGTTCAATGCAGTGGAATGTAGGGCAATTCTTGAAGCCAATACACATGCTAAAGAAAGGTACTTGAGAGACTTTGGGGGCTTTTTCTTAATGTGTTCTTATGTTGCTCAAGCCTTCTATAAAGCTTGCTTCCAATTGCTTGAAAACATTAACTTTGTGGGAAGCTTTTCTGTTGTATACCTTGACCTAGATACTGATTACCTAAGTATATACTTGTATAGAAATTCATTGTGCTGAACATTTTAAGATTTGTGCATTGTGTGTGATTTATAGCTCAGAACAAAAGTTTCAAAAATGCTTAGGCTGGGGAGAATAACATTATGCTTCAGCATGACTTCTGCCTTTATATGAGCATGATCCCCTATTTGCTCACTAAAGAAAATGTAGCAAAACAGACTGTATTTAACTGACTTCACTCTCACAACAATGCTGGAAGAGCATACTATTTTTAATCCCCATATTATAGGTAGGTTGACAGCACACAGAATGTTAAGGTACATAGCTGGTAAGAGACAAACAGGATTCACAGCTTTGCTGGGGAGCATCAGAGCTGTTGCTTTCAGCCATGTATTAACACAGGCAATAAGCAAGTGGAAAGATAGTGGAGCAAGAGCAAGGCAAACCCCCTCGACTATCATGACACAACATGCTCTGGTCCCCATGTTGGCAAAAAAATAATCTTATGCTTCCAAGTTCTGATGGGTAAACTGAGCTATAGGAACTTCCAGGCATCACTCACAAAAGGAAGAAGTAATATCCCCACCTTGAGGGCAATGAAGTTGAGGAGACCATACTCTATTTCTCATCAATCCCACACCTAGAAAGATTCCTTAGAAAAACAATTGTTTATGTGCATCATGTGTACTACTGAAGAGCCCTCTAAATCACTGATAATCCTTAGCATAGCAGTGGGATAGATCTATTGGTTTATTCCTTCAAAGGGACTCAATAAAGTTTGAATTAAAAAAACACAAATGTTGGCCAGGTGTGGTGACACATACCTGAAATCTCAGCAGCCCTGGAGGCTGAGGCAGGAGGATCAAGAGTTCAAAGCCAGCTTCAGCAACTTAGTGAGGTCCTAATCAACTCAGCAAGACCCTGTCTCTATGTAAAATATAAAAAAGGAGTTGGGGATGTGGCTCAGTGGCTAAGCACCCCTGGGTTCAAACACCAGCACCAAAAAAAAAAAAAAAAAAAAAAAAAAAAAAAAAAAAAAAAAAAAAAAAGAAGAAGAAGAAAAAAAAAAACAATGATGGATCAGAATATTAATTGATAAATACACAGTAATACCAGTGATGTAACCTTTGATAAGTATAAAGTAATGCCTGCTGCATCTTATATCTAGATGCTCACTTAGAGGAAAAGTGTCACAAACCAGCACAGGAAGGCAGGCCACGTGCAAGAAGAATAGTTATCATTCAGAACAAAAGAGGACAGTGGGTCTGGGACAAGCAACATGGCAGACCAGAGCTTTGTCCAAGTTGATATTTTTTTAAATGGCAATGCATGTGTGAGGAGATATGTATATTAGTTATTTCTTGGTGGTGGTGGTGAATAGCTGGGTGTTTTTAGAATTCTGGTTTACTTGTTGGCATGTGTGAATGGTGCAGCATTTAAATCAAGTACACATGTATGTTAACCCTTGAGATAAGGGTTTCTTCAGAATGCAGTGGCTGTGGCAGATGTATAGGCAGATGAGTTTTTGTGCTGTAGCCAGCCTAATGCATAACTAATGTGTGTGGTTCTCTCCAGCAGCCGAATCCAGTGGAGCAGCGTTACATGGAGCTCTTGGCCTTGCGTGATGATTACATAAAGCGGCTTGAGGAATTGCAGCTTGCCAATTCTGCCAAGCTTTCTGATCCCCCAACATCACCGTCCAGTCCTTCACAAATGATGTCCCATGTGCAGACTCACTTCTGAGGGGGAACCCTGCTGGCACTGCCTTTGAGCTCTGAATAAAGGAATTAGTTGACTTTCATTTTGGGCATCTGTACAAATAGATTTAAATATTTGCCTCCAGGTAGAACTTAAACTAACATTATCTTAAACTCTTGAATATGTGCCTTCTAGAATACATATTACAAGAAACTACAGTGTCTACATGGCAATCAGAAGAAAGCCAAGAGGAGGAAAATCTGGAAAATGCTGACACCTTTAAAAAGCAGTTTTTGAAAGATAAAATTTAAATTTAATACCTTTATAGAAATGCTACATATACAATATGTATTTTTGATACATAAGATACATATACAATATGTATCTTAATTGAGACAACATTATTTTCAGTCAGAGAGAGAGAGAGATTTGTGAAATGGATTTTCCTCAGACTTCTTAGAATAGTTGCTTTGGATTATCCAAAATGAATCCAAATATGAAAGATGGGTATACTGCCAAAACCAAATTGAGCTCAGCTTCCGCAGTATTATTCAAAAGTAAGGTGTTTAAATAATTGCCAACTTTTATATCATCATAAATGGTGAATTAAGAAGAAATAGCTATGTAGATGATTTTTCCTTATTCTGAAATTTTGAAATATTAAAGGTTTTCCCCTAATTTTCAGGAGAAGTGTATTTTTATATTTAAAAAACTAGTGGGACCCATTAAATATGATTTGATTTTTCCTTTACTTTGCCAGTTCTATTTTCTAAATTCTTTCATGAGCTTGCCTAAAATTCTGAAATGGTTTTCAAGTTGTGGAAAATCCTATATAGAACTCTATTTAAGGATGCCAGGTGCATTCTGCTGCTTTAGGTGAATATTTCAGCAAACGTGGCTCTAGTAAATGCAGCTTATTTGCCAAAATGTAGGTTCACCATCTTGGATATATAAGCTACTACTAGAGCATCATTCTTTGAGATAAATGCCCCAGATGTACATTTGTTGAGCGTATTCTTCAAAGTATTATGTTTATGTATTTTGGTTTAAATGGTGTTGGGTTTCCCTCCCCGCAAGTGTGCATAAAAACTGGTTCTACAAATTTTTACTTGAAGTACCGGGAAGTTTGCTTTTTCAGTTTTTTTGTTTTGTTTTGTTTTATTGTATTAAGTAAAATTTTAAATGCGCAGTTCTATTTGATATATGAACTAATTCATTTAGTAAGTATATTTGTAAAAGCTAAAGCTAGAGATAAAACAATAAGTTTTACAATGATTTGTAAAGGACTATTTATACCTAATATGGTTTTGTTTTCAATGAATTAAGATAAGAGATTAAATATATCTTTGTAAATTATTTTATGTCATAGCTTAATTGGTCTACCAAATAAGACATCTCAAATATAGTGGTATAATGTATGAATTTTGTAAGTATAAGCAATTTTATTAGACATTCTCCTGCTTTTTGTAAACGCTGTAAATATTTCATAAATTAACAAAGTGTCACTCCATACAAAGAAGAAAGCTAATACTAATGGCTTAAAGGATATTGTGAAATTTCATGAAAACATTTTCATGGCAAAAAAAATGACTAAAGACCTGCTGTAATAAATACATTAACTAAAACCTAACACTCTATTTTGAGGAATGTGACTGTGTATGTGTTTGAAATGTGCATGGTTCCCATCTTATTTTCTGATCTATTTCATACACTCTTTTTACTAGCAACCATTGTGTCCATTTTTGACTGGTAAGTGGCCAATTGAATTTCCTATCCACTGGCAGACCCAGTATATATTTTAGAAGTAGAAGCCCTCAGGAAAAAGCACTCTGGTGACAGCTGACCTAGTACAGACACTTGAACCACAGGACACAAAACGTTTTGTTACTTTGGCAGGATCATTCAAGTCTAGTCAATTTAAAGAAGTTACTAATCATGTGTGTATATGTGTTGAGTAACCACTTCAAGTGAGTAAAGGAAACCCCTGGCTGTGAAAACTCAGGGATGTTCTGGAGCTTTATGTCCCTCTACATTAGAGCAAAAAAGTTATAGGATGGAGATGTCTAGAGGCCTATAATTAATAATATTGTATTCTGTATTTTTGATCAAGGAATAGATTTTAGGTATTTTTAAAAACAGATAACTATGAGATGAGGAATATGCTAATTTGCTTGAGTATAATAACATTCCCTATGTGTGTATCAAAAATATCATGTATGCCTTAAGTATATAGAGCAAAACAATAAAGATTCTATAGAGAGGAGAAATAGGAATTCAGCCACATCTGTAATTAGGGAAATATACATTGGACCCACAGTAAGATATGACCCCACACCCATGCTATCCTTTTAAAAGTCGGCAGTCCTAAGCATTGGCAAGACTGTACACCAGTAGTAACTTCATACAGTTCTTTGAAGAATAATTGACATTATGTGGTAAAATTGAAGTTCGTACCTACCATAGTATCTAGCATTTCTACTCTTAAATATAGAGATGGCCTGGAGAAATGAGAAACTCTGCACTAAAAGACATGTACACAAATATTTATGGTACCATGTTTGTCATAGGTAACAACAAAGTGCACATATCTAGCTACAGTGGAACAGATAAATTGTGGCATATTCAGACAATAGAATACTGCACAACCAGGAAAAATCATTAAACCACAGCTATACATAACACAGATAAAAGCATTTGATTCAAAAAAATAAGGCACAAAATAATAATATGTTCAGGTGGGGTTGTGGTTCAGTGGTAGAGTACTTACCTAGCATGTGTGAGGCACTGGGTTCAATTCTCAGCACCACATAAAAATAAATAATAAAGGTCCAATGTCAACAACAACAAAAAAGATTTTTAAAAGAATATATTCAATAGTATTGCATTCCTATAAGTTCAAAAATGAACTACATTCTCATTTAGGGATGTATGAATGGCAAAACAACAATGAAAAGCAAAGAAACCACCACTAGAGAAAGAAACAGTATGAGCAGAAGCATCTATCCATTAAAGGGGAGGCAGTGTGTGTAGAACACAAAGGAAGTTGGTACTCTTGGAATGCAATGTGTCCAGGCCTGTGAAAGATGACCTAGAGGTAGGAAGGGGCCTGTCATACAGCCACAAGGCTGGGGACAGAAAGGCCAGTTTGAGGCTACTGTATTTGACCACACCAGAGGGACTCAATCTGGAATACAGACAAGTAGAGATGTAGATTGAAAAAAAGAATCAGTGGGAGTTTATAACTTGGAAGAAGAGAAAGTAGTAACAGAGGGAGGCAGAAGGACAGTCAGTGTCAAGAGTCTTGCCATGTGCCAACTCTCCTGGCCATGGGCCAAAGGGCACAGCAGCCTCCAGATGCCAATCAAGGACAGGAGACAGATTTTCCTCCACAGTCCCCTGAAGAAATGCAGTCCTGAAGATACCTGCATTTTAGCCCAGTGAGACCTATGTTCCAACTCCTGACCTCTATGTTGTCCAAGCTGGTATGTTTGCAGCAATTTGTTAAAGCATCCACAGAAGCTAACTGAAGGAGGATACAGAATGTAAACAGGCCCAGGTCTGATGACCTCAATGTTCTTAACATATCTCCCACTACAGTCCAACATCAAAGGCTGTAGGAAATTTGCACTGGCCCAGAGCAGAGAGGGAAGAAGATTAAAATGTCCTAAGAAGTGGTGCTTACCAGGGAGTGAGCTCTGGCATGTAGTCCAAATTTACTTTACCTCAGTAGTTCAAAGTCCTCTGGCACCAGGCTTATGATGCCCCCAGATGCTTTCTGGAGTATCACACCTTCTCCCCAGAGTTCTAAAAATTCTCACAAATCGTTTTCTGAAGAAAATGAATAGCTCACAGAAAAACAGCCAAGGGGGAAAAAAGACTTCAGGACTTCCTTCAAATTACTTTAATTATCAGGCACAGGTAGTCAGTTTGCTGGAGATGGCACACCTGGAATAATGGGCCAACTATGAGCATCCCTTCCCAATCCTGTACTTGGTGGTATCAAGGTGGCACCTTGATCCAGGGTAGAGAGATTTATGCCACAGAAATCAGAAAGCACTACAAAGATTGGGGATTTTTTCCCTTCAAAGAGCTGATAATTAAAAGTTCCCCTAGAGCATCACTGGCTACAGGTTATAAAATCAATATGAATATTATCTTTGAAGAATAAAACCTAGATGACCTTGGATTTGGCAAAGAATTTTCAGACACAACACCAAAAGTATAATCCTTGGAAGAAAAAATTGGTAGGGTAGACCATACTAAAATGAAAAGTTTCTCTGAAACACTTTCAAGAGAATGATGAGATGAGCCACAGACTGGGAGAAAAATTTTTGCAAAACATATCTGATGAGATCATGTTATGCAAAATATACCAAGAACTCTTAAAACTCAATAAAAAGAAAGCAACCTGATTGTAAGGGGTTTTGTTGTTGTTGTTTTTATTTGTTTTTTGGTGGTGCTGGGGATTGAACCCAGGGCCTTGTGCATGCAAGGCAAGCACTCCACCAAGTGAGCTATAACCCCAGCAACCTGATTTTAAAATGTGCAAAAGTTTTGAGCAGAAACCCCACTAAAAATATCTATACAGATGGTAAACATGCACGAGACAACATGCTGCACTTCATATGTCATCACAAGAATTCAAATTAAAACAATAAGATACCACTGCACACCTATTAGAGTGGCTAAATGCAAATCACCAGCAACACCAAACTCTGGTGAGAATGGGAAACATCAGGAACTCTCATTTATTGCTGGTGGGAATGCAAAATGGTACAGCCACTTTGGAAGGCAGTTTGGCAGTTTTTTACAAAGCTAAATATAGCCTTCACATACAATCAGTAATCACACACCTTGGTATTTTCCCAAATAAATTTAAAAGTTGCACCCAGGCAAAAACCTTCACACAAATGTTTGACAGTTGGCACATGTTTATAGCATAGTTGGCATAATTTGGTAGCAATCAAGATACTCTTCAGGAGGTATGGATAAACAAAACTGTGGTCTATCCTGATAATGAAATATTATTAGGCACTAAAAAGAAATGATCTGTCTATCATGAAAGCACAGGGATAAATCTTACATGCATATTGGTAAGTGAAAGAATCCAGTCTGAAAAGGATACATACTATATAATTCCAACTACATGACATGCTGGAAAATGCAAACTATAGAGACAGTTATTTTTCTGGCTGCATCTTTTGCTGTGAATAATGAGCCATCTTTGTTTCTGATTCAGAGATCCTGTGTTTTCTGTCAGAGCATAATGATCAACTACAATTTTAGCTTGTAGTAGGATAAATCTTGACCCATAAGAGCTTCTGACCTAAGTGCAGAGCACCTACTTAGAGAGTGGCTGTGATTTGTGCCTGGATCCCCAGCTGAGTGGGGAAGAGATCTTAGCAAGTGGAAGTTTACTTCTCTGGGCTGCAATGTATGTTGCCGCAGAAAACATCCCCCAAATCTAGTAATTGGCTTACAAAACAACTTATATCTCAAAATCTTTGGACTAATTGAATGATTGTCCATCTTCACATAGTGTTGGAAAAGCCACTGGGATAGCTGGAAGCCATGAAATGCCTCCACTCACATGACTGACAGTGTTGGCTGCTAGACATGCTGGAATTCCAGATGACTTATGGCCTAGTCTTGGAAACTGTACATCATTACCTCTACTCCATTCTCTCCACATTGAAGTGGAGGAGAAATAGACTCCATCTATTGATGTATCTGAGTGGCAAGGTCACCTTGCAAAAGAGCATGTGGAATGGGAAGTATTATTGCTTTGAAAACACAATCTACTGTAGTAGTATTTCTCCAAGTGCAGTGAGCCCTGCATCAGAGTCCCTGTAACACCTGCTGGAAATGCAGATTGGAGGCGATTCTTGCACAGTAGCATTTGAGAAATCTTCTGCTGAGCTACAGAACAATGCCCAGACTTTTTAGCCTAAAATCTTCCATGGCTTGGCCCTGGTGACCTCTCATTGATCACCTCACTTCTCTGAATTTACGCTCCAGCAACAGTGAAATTCTTGAAGTTCCCTTTCATATAAGGTAATTAACCTACTCCTTACTTGTGTCCATAACTGTTCCATCTGCCTGGAATGACTTGACATAACCTGACAAGGACATACTACTCATCTTTTAAGATTCAGCATTATGTCACCTTTTCTAGGAAGCCTTCATAATTTCCTCTTTTTTTAGAGAGAGAGAGAGAGAATTTTTTTTAATATTTATTTTTTAGTTGGTTTTTTTTTTTTTTGGCGGACACAACATCTTTGTTTGTATGTGGTGCTGAGGATCCAACCCCGGGCCGCACGCATGTCAGGCAGCGCTACCGCTAGAGCCACATCCCCAGCCCCCTAATTTCCTCTTGTTCCATGGATTGGGGTAGGTGTTCCTACAACCCATGTGATTGCCCCCGGCAGAGCACTTACAACTTGAAATACCAGTGTTACTTTATCTCCTTCACTTAACTGTAAACTTCATAGTCAGGTATATGTCAGATTCATCTCTGTCCTCTAAATCCAACATGTGGTTAACTAATTTGAAAGGTTGATAGTGTCACAGAGAATTCCCCTCTTTGGCCTAATCCTCTTTGTAGTATCTAGTATTTTAAATATCCTTCAAATTTCATTGCATTATTTTTGTTCTGAAAAATCTTAGGGAAGCTAGGGTATTTGCAACAATTTGTTTAAAAAAACTGCTTTGAAAGTGGGTGTCTTAGTCTGCTCAGGCTGCCACCACAAAATACTGTAGAGCAGGGGTTGGGGAGCTTTAATGATAGACATTTTTTTCTCACAGATCCTGGATCTGGAAAGTCAAAGATCTAGCAGTTTGGCTGCTGGTAAGAGCTCTCTTTCTGGCTTGCAGATGGCTGTCTTCCTGCAATGTCCTCACATGACCTTCCCTCACTGTCCTTCCCTATCTTTTTCTTTCTTCTGCTGAGGATTGAACCCAGGGCCTTGTAAGCACTGAACACACACTCTTACCACTGAACTACACCCCAGGCAGGCCCTACATGGGTTTCTTGGTGCATGTGTGTGAAAGCATACTATCAAGCTCTCTAGTGGCCCTTTTATAGTAGCACAAATTCAGTCAGGCCGAGGCAGGCCCTCAGAACCTAATTACCTTATGAAGATGTCATCTTCACATACCATAATGTTTGTAGTTATCCCCTCTCAGCACATTCCTGATTTGGGGTGTGAATTTGTGTGGGGGGACACAAACATTCAATCCCTAACACTAGGTTAAACATTTTGTTTAATGATTTTGGAAAACAAGAATCTTGCAGGACGTGATTTTCCAGTGTGCCAAGATATTTCCCTTATTTCCTCCCAGCCATCCTCAGTCTGTCAACCCTTTACCATAGGTTCACCTGCGCTTTGGTATAAGATGGTTGCTGGGGCTCCAGGCATCACATTCTCAAGACTTAGTTAAGTTATTAAGCCAGTGGAACACAATGAGTTTGGGGTGGGTGTGGGTTACTGTCTACAGGTCTACCTTTAACAGTAAGGGAAGTGTTCCCTTTATGTGTCCTTGGGCAAATCTAAGGCAGAAGTCTACTCCATACCCAAAGCAATCACAGACAAAAAAGCTCTGGATTTCCATATCTACTACCAAAAAAATCAGAGATGTGCTGAAAGGGAATAAGCCACTACATATTTGAACCCAAGCAGAATGAGGGTAATAAATGTAGCTTTATCATCATGATTTTCATAGTGGCGTATTTAAATCAACAGAGCTTAAATGTTACTCTTAACATAAACCATAAACCAAAGGCGGAAGTTCTGAGGGCGGCATTGGAATCACTTGGTTGCCCTACAGATGGCAGGGAGGTGGATTTGTGTGGGGGGTGGGGTGGGGTGCGGGTAGAGGGAAGAAGGGAATGGGTAAGAATTGCTAAAATGCATGCAATTGCTTATGCTTTAAGACGGCAAGACCAGGTACGCCCAAGGAGCCTGGACTGTCCCGACCCAAAAACTTCTTTGAGCACCACAAAACTGAGGGAGAAAAGAGTTTTTAACCCTTGAATTTCCCGAAACCTGTTTTTGTTTTTAAATATATACCCCGCATCTTGATAGTCAACCCGGTTTGATTATTGAGCAAAGCATGTTATGCTTAATGCGTTTGAAGATCCTGAATCCCCGCGGATGTGCTCCAGTGGGACGTCCCAGCCTACAGATCACAGGTTCCTGGGGGCGGGTGCCAGGTGGGGCCTGGGCGGGGTCGGGAACCAGACGCCCGCCCTGCGCACCGCCCTCCCGCCTCGACCCCGCCCCCTCCCCAGCCCCCGCGCGCGCGGCCTTGTGGGTAAAGTGGGGATGCCAGGTGACAGTTAATGGCGACGGCCGCCTGAGGCGGGCGGCAGAGTAGGGCTGCAGGACACGCGTGGCGGAACATTCCGGCCCGCCGCTCCTGTCCGACTGCGGCTTCCCGGCGGTTGCAGGGCTCCGCAGGGGCTTGGCTCTCCATGGACAGGCCAGTGGCGGCGGCGGCGGCGGCGGGCTGTGAGGGCGCTGGGGGCCCGGGCCCGGGACTGGCGAGCGGCAGGAGGCCCCCTCGGGCCTCTGGGGGCGCCGCTGCCGGCTCCCGGCAACCCAGCGTGGAGACCCTGGACAGGTAAGCGGGACCCGGGCCGCCCTGACTCACTGGGCCCCCTCAGCCTCTCCCGCTCACCGCTCGCCGCCAAGGCGGGGACGGAGGGCCCCTCCACAGTCCCTTCCCTGCCCCGGAAGACCCCTGCGCCCCAACCTGGGCCGCACCCTCGGACCTGTCCCAGGCTGTGCACCTGGCCCACTTCCGCCTCGCTAGTCGAGCTCTCCCCTGGCCCTCCGATGGCCTTCGGAGCTGTCACACCGCTTCCCTAGATACCTACTAAGATTCCCTTGACAACCCGTGGTCTGCACTTGCTGGAGCCACGAATCTTCTGGGGCAATTTCACCCGGGCGGGCTGTTCTCTTTTGAGTCACCTTGCCTCCTTTTAAGCCAAATTCTCCTCCTGCTGCTGCTCCTTGGAGTCTTTGATGTTGGAGTTGGGGACTGTGGGACAGGATCCCATACGCGTGGGAGCTGGTGCAGATGAAGGCAAAGATACCCTGATTTGAAAAACTGGGATGGAAAACTTCCAAACTGTTCATGCAACAAGAACACAGAATCTTCTTTCAGTTCTTCACACTTCAGAGGGACCCACTCATTGTTTTCTTGAATGCAAGAGCTTACTGCTTCTGAGGCAGTTGCAGAACTAAGAGAAATCTGTTACAGGCACACAAAGCCACCCACCATGTCCAACTGGGAAGGGCCATCCCATACTCTGAGGACAAGTGATGAATTATCCTGTGGCCCAGAACATCCAGTTTGCCCACCTTGTGGCCATTTCCCTGATGCTGGAGTGACTTAGGCAACAGACACTGTTGTGATGTAGCTGAGTTTCAGATGTTCATTCCTGCCTGTCTTAGTCATACCAGTATACTGAAGTTTTGGGAGTTTCCAAAGGCACAGGAGCAACAGGAAACACTCCCTCACTTTGCTGCTAGCTCAGTGTAATTACAGTGTACTTCAATAAATTAATCACCCAAGAGATCAGCTTCACTGAAAACTAATCACAGCTAACACAGACAGCATTTGGAATGGTGAGGACTTCACTTATCTGCAAATATTCAACAATGTTTGAGGTATCAGCAATTCAGACAATAATACAAGATGTCTTTTGCTCTCTGGCTTACCATTTTGCTGAGAATACAAACAAAGCAACAATTGAAATCAAATGTGATTGAGAGCTCTGCTAGAAGTGAACACACAAGGATACTCAGGATGGGGCCTGTGTCTGAATATCTAAGAAGCTGAAGGAGCCAGAATGTGTTACCCTAAGATATAACTTATATTCTTGTCCTTCAGAGCTTCCCCCCACCTTTTCCTTTTTGAACCATGGATTAAACCCCAGGAATTTTAACCACTGAGGTTAAAATTCCTAGCCCTTTTTATTTTGAGACGGGATCTTCTGAAGTTACTTAGGGCCTCACTAAGTTGTTGGCACTAGCCCTGAACTTACAATTCCCTTGCCTCAGCTTCCCAAGTCACTGGGATTACAGGCATATGCCACCACATCTGGCTCCTGCAGAGCTTTTTAAGTATTACAATGAACCAGGCCCCATACCTCTCTGAATACTCCTTCAGGATATTTCTGGAAGACCTGGTAATTAGTATTTTCCAAAAGCTCTATAGACTGAGTAGTGATCCCCCTGTACTATGGGTACATTTTGCCAGTTACTTTGGGCTATAAGTGAGGATCTTCCAAGGAAAACTGACACTGGAACTGAATAGTGAAAACTGAGTAGAAGTTAGCTTGGGCACAGAACAGGGAGGGCTTTTTTGGCCATGAGAGCAGAATGTGTAGTCATGTAGGTAACACGGGGATATGGAGAACTGGTAAGTGAGAAGCCTGCTTCTTGTGGGAAAACAGCCTTCCTAAGGAATTGGGTCATTATCCTGCTATAGGGATCGCTGCATCAGAATCATCTCAAGTCTAAACACAGATTTTTCGGCCTCATCCTAAATCTAGTCCATTCACTTCTGACTTTGAGCCTATGTGAGTCACACAGGATATTTTGCTCACAATGGTTCTGGTTTACTTGGTGGGCCAGTATAATTATTAACATCCTTCTTCAACACTCAGTTTTTTCTTGGTTTGAATGAGAAATTACATGGTCATCCTAGCTTTGGGGACCACAAAAGGACTTTAATCAGGTGAGCTATGCAGTGGTGTGGCAGATGGACTGTGAACTGGTCAGTGGATTATCAAAATGCTTAATCACTCATGCATTTATTCTGCAAATATGAATGCCTACTCTGCATCCAGTAATGCGTTGAGTCTGGCGATAAAGCAAGGAACTAACACAAATCTCTCCCCCCATAGAGTGTATGTTTGTTGGGAGACAAAGACAAAAAGCAAGTAAAATGTGTTCTGGGTTAGATGGTGATAGGTGCTAGGGAAAATAAGTTGAGAAGGGACTAAGAAGTGTTGGGATCTGTGCTTTTGGAAGTGGTTGTAATTTTAGTAGGATGATTAGAAAAGCCCAACTGAGAAAGGTGACATCTGAGCAGTGTCCTGAAACAGGTGGGAGATTCAGCCTTACAAATATCTGGGGAGATAGCTTTCTAGGCAAAAGCCTGTGCAAAGGAACTGGGGTAGGAGCATGAGGGAAGTATCTGAGGACTAGCAAGGAGACAGGGAGTCAGTAGTGAGGAGGGAACTCTGGAGGGAACTAAGGGATGAGGTCAGAGAGGCCTCAGGAGTAGCTGGTGGAGAGTCTTAGAGGCCATAGGGAGTCACTGGGGACTTCAGAACAAAGGAGTGACATAATTTATTATGTATTTCAGTAGGCTTTCATGGTGCTATGTGGACAATAGGAAGAGGAGGGAAGGAGTTGAAACAGAGAGGACAGCAGGTAGGCGACTGTTGTACTAGGCCACATGAGAGGATGACAGCTTAGCCTAGGGTGATGGAGTAGAGGAGGGTAGAAGTGGTCTGATTATAGATGTGGTATGAAGAAGACCTGCAGTGTAAGAGCCAATAAGGTTTGCTGAAGATTGATTGTTGAGTATTAAAGAATCATGGAGGATTCTAGTGTATTTTGCTGTGGGGAAATGGTATTGCTGAGATGGAGAAGTCTCTAAGCAGATCAGGATTAGGAAAGAGAAGGCTCTCATCTTTGGACATATTAATTAGGAAATGCCAATTATACCCCTGAGAAGATGTCAGAAAGACAATTGGTTTACATGAGCTTGTAGTTCAGGGATGGCACCTAGGCTGGAGACCTAAATTGGTGAGTCATTAGCATCTAGATGGGGCTTTGATTCATGAGGCAGGATGAGAATACAGAATGATGGGGCTCCTGAAAAGGAATAAAGTAGGAATAGGACAGGGTCAATTTTTAAGATACTAACCAGGGAATAGGGACATGACCTGCTGAGCATTCAGCTATGTGAGATTGCTCAGTGAGACCACGAAAGACCAGGTTGGAGAACCAGAGCCTGTAGCCTACAAGTGGTTGTTGAAGCCAAGAATGTGGAAGGCAGTTGCAGACTAAAGGTATGAGAGAAGGGAAGAGGAAAAGTGGCCTTTAATCTCAGGTCTGTCATTTCCACAAGCTCCCATTCATGGTTTTCTTTGAAGAGTGACTCCTAGAGTAGAACCTGGCTATATGGGCTTGGCTTGGCCATGCTTCCTGGAACATGGGACCTTCACCCCTCTTCCCAGTACTGTACTTGATAACGAAACTGTGGTCTTGTGAGAGGATGTGGCTTGTTGAAGGTCACAGACTAGCTGGTGACAGAGCATGGCTAGAATCCAGGCCTCCTGTCTGCTAGCCCACTATACCACTTTGTGTGTGACTGCACTGGCCAGGACACTTCCTGTTGTAGGTGACAACACAACTCATTACCACAAAGGAGATATGTTGGCTCACGTAACTGCTCCAGATGGGGAGATAATGCCAATGCATGTAAGTGGGACCAGGGTTGCAACAGTGTTGTCAGGACTGCCCATCTCTTGTTTCTTACTTTTTATCTCTGTGTGTTCTTTTAAGGGGTAGAGGTGGGGATTGGCTTCTAGCAGCTTTGGGGGAGATCCACAGAGCTCAGAATCCAAGAACAAACTTGGGACTGGCAGGGCCAGAGTAACTCCCCTATAAGCTATAAGTGGGAGCAGGAGGAAGAAGGGATTAGCCCATCCCTTTCCTCTCCCCCATAGAATCCTCTGAAGTGGGAGGCAGGAGTTATATAGTTCCTCAAAATAAAGGGAAGTTTCTAATGAGAAGAACTGGGAAAGGGATACTGCGCAAATGGTAGTACCAGGCCACTCATGGTCAATAGTTGGGTTTCTACAGTTTTTTTCCCTATACTTGCAATCAGGAATGGGTGCTGATAGAGCAAAAGGCAAAATGAGAAGAAAAATTGAGTACAAGCAGGCAATAAAGATGGCAGCTTTTAAAGAGGAAACAAAAATCCTTGCTTTCCCCTCCCCCCCTCTTAGGAATTATGATAGATTCCTAGGATATCATCAGAATTTCTGCCCAATGAGCAAATATTTTGCTTATATTTTCAACCACACAGCTAACCATTGGGCTGTCTTAATCAGAAACTGGAGTTTAGATCACTAGGACAGAACATCATCTTTATTATTTAGTTTATTTTACGTATTTCCTGGTGATTTCATGTGTTTCTTTTCTTTAATACATGAGAGTGGATTTAATTAGTCATGCGTTTTTTTTAAAGATCTGGAATAGTCAGTGAAAGCTACCTGCACAGTAAACTTTTATAAGCATCTTTTATTCTCTTGCTTAATTTCTTCAGTTTTGACAAATCAGGAGAGGAACCCAATTTTGAGGGGCCATTTGTAATTCTACCACTACCTAGTTTATTTTTTGTGGTCCTTTAGAACTTAGCAGTCATATGAGCTTGGACCAAACTAGAGACTAGATTTTTTCATCTATGAAATGGGTCACTTTGAGGCTGGGTAAGAATACATGTGTGGAAATGGCTTTGAACGCTGTAGAGTACTGTGGAATTGGAAGATAACATTTTTTCACATTGTTGTATTTTCATATGAGGCAGATGGTTAGCATCTGTGGTGCTGGATTTAGCTCATTAAGCTGGTCACTATTGTACCATGTTCTGTAAGGATGGCTGCTTCCTAACAAAGCATGACACCTCTGTGCCTCCATTTTCTCATCTCAAAAACCAGTTGCGTGTTCTGCCTTTTCATCATACCATGGTTATGAGGCTCTGGCATAACAACTGGAAGAACATTTTGTAAGCTAGCAGAACACTTACAGAAATGTAAGGTATCATTATTACTGTATATAAAATGCTATTTTTCTACTCTGTTCTCTTTAAAATCACAATCAGCTTTCCTCCATTAAGAGTTTCTTTGGTTTACTCAAGATTACACTAGTTTTTAGATTAAAACTGCCAACATGAAATTAAATTTTTGAAAAACATATGCTGGAAGATAAATTTTTCACTTAAACAATTAGTTTTCTATAAATGTTACATTAAGAATCATGTTTCCATACAATTGTAATAGGATAAAATTCCATTTAATGTTGGAGAACAGTATGCTTATCACCTAGAATCTTAAAATTTTGAAAAAAAATGGTTAATTCATTTAAAACTATCCAAGATTGTAATCTTACTTCCTAGATTTCAGTCAGTATTTTATTGGTACTAGGGATTGAATTCAGGGGCATTTAACCACTGAGCCACATCCCACATCCCCAGCCCTTTTTTTGTATTTTATTTAGAGACAGGGTCTCATTGAGTTGCCCAGGGCCTCACTAAGTTGCTGAGGCTGACTTTGAACTTGCGATCCTCCTGCCTTAGCCTCCCAAGCTGCTGGGATTACAGGTGTGTGCCATGGTGCTCAGCCAGTATTTCATTTCTTACAGTAAATGTAGAGGTAACCAAATATTTTAACAAAAATTTATTCCTCTAAATTTGTGCATATATCCCTATTCAGTGCTCTATTACAGAGCCTTTGTTTTAAAATTTTTTAATCATGCTGCTTTTTTTTTTTTTTTTTTTTTTTTTTTAGTCCTACAGGGTCACATGTTGAATGGTGTAAACAGCTTATAGCTGCTACAATTTCTAGTCAGATTTCAGGTTCAGTGACATCAGAAAATGTATCCAGAGATTATAAGGTAAGCAACATTGAGTGTTTAATTCATTTTCAGTAAACTAAGCAGCAAAGAAGTTTTGTAGTTTTATTTCAAGTGAGCCTTTGACCCCTTGATGATTAACTGTCATTTGCTTGGGAATGGGGACAAGTTCTCTATTGTTCAATTGGAAATTTAGAAGAGAAGTTTTACCAGTAGCCAGTATATGTGGTCATATATTTATAACTGAAAGGAAAAACTGTCTTTAGATTATGATCATTCTTTTAAAACTCAAGTTCCATTTTATTATAAGACATGCATATATTTTCTTTGTTAATATTCTTTATTTCAGAAAATGTATATGTACATTATCTCCTTAAGCTGACAATTCATTTTTGTATTTAGGTATTATTTGTGAGTATACAGCATTAACATGTGTAACTAGAATGTAAAAGCAATTGCAAAATTCAAAAGAATGTATGAGCAGCCTCATTTTTTAGTCCTTACTGAAGTGAAAAATTTAATTTATTTTAAATTCTCTTGTTTATTTTAATCTCTTCTGCTTATTCTAGAGTTAAGAGTGATAAGTTCCTTATTAGCAGACACCAGGGCTCCTTTACTCACCACTGGTTTCCCAGCATAATCCTGGAGCATAATAGGTACTGAGTAAATACTTAATGAATCAATTAACAAGCCCCAAATTACTTGCTCCATCTTTGTTCATGATGATCATTATGATCTTGCCCCATCATTTTAATGTCAATAAACTATTAACAGGCACACTAAGTGAAACCATGTTTACATTTCAGTTGTGGTATTTATTTGAATTAAGGTTTCAGTTTACCATGATCATTTTTGTCTGCTAGGAAGATATGATTGATTTTTTATAAGCATGTATAAAATATATTTAGTATCCTGGACTTGTATTAGTTACAGGCTCTCAAAATCATGATCCTTGCCAGACAGCAAATCTTACAAATCTTACAAATATTTAAGAACTACAATAAAGATGCTAATTAATTCTTAATTGCCTCAGTTCCTCTTTAGCTCATAACATAACAAGTACAGAAACTAACTCAAGAGGCCATCTAATTGAGATTCAGCTATGTTGCTGTCTCTTGCCTCATCCAAGCCAGCAGATGTTGTTGAGTATGCCTATCAGGGGAAGGCATAGCAGTGGACTAGAGGAAATTGGGTAATCTTCCCACCAGAAGAGTGACAGTATATCCCTTAATAGTATCCCCCGTTACCTGGTTTTTATATTTTCCCAGAAAAGTGTAGCTGGAGCTCCCGATCTTCAAAACTTGACTGGATAAACACAGTGTCCAGTTGGGAGAAGCATTTGCTGTATCACCAATGCCTGGGTGGCTGGCCAATGAGCAGCTATAGATCAGTTGTCCAATTTCCCCCACTTTACCTGAGAAACTGTCCACTGAAGGAGATGCTCAAGCACCCATATTGGCAGAGGAAAACTCTCTGACTTTGGTGTGATTTTCTTTATGTGCAATTATGAGTTAATTGTAAATTTTTCATTATGGTTGAATAGTTATGTTGTGTGGCTTCTATAAAAGACTGAATGTTGACTGTGTGCATAGTTTTCTAAACTATATATTAGTAGGTCAAACTGAATCTGTACTTTATCATGAAGTAACTTAAGTTTTATTATGTTTAGTCTGTTTACAAATTTTCTGTAACAGAATTAGCTCATGTTATGATGGTTTAACAGATGGTGTTCAAAAAAATAAGACTTAAAAAATTTCATCCCTGCATCCTACAGTTAAATTCTTTGATGAGTTATTGTAAGAGAGCATGTTTTAAAACTATCTCTGTTATATTTGCCCTGTAGCCAAATCTACAAGTTGACATTAAATTTATAATTTGTGAGTTGTTATGCTTCTTCAAGGAAGTTTTGTTTTGTTTTGTTTTTTTGTACCAGGGAATTAACCCAGGGGCACTTGACCACTGAGCCACATCCCCAGCCCTATTTTGTATTTTATTTAGAGACAGGGTCTCACTGAGTTGCTTAGCCTCACTTTGCTAAGGCTGTTTAGGTTGGTGATGGGACAAAGCATTCCTAGTACATTCATACAAACATGAATATTAACAACTCATGTTAGATGTTGAGAGCAGTTACTTATTCTTTACTCATATCTTAAATTGTTGGTCAGCCCAGGGTCAGATCACCCAAAGTGGTAAGAATATCACTGGTGTCATATGAGATGAGTTTGGATGGTATGTCTTGAACATATTTTAATAGCTTTATAATTATTTTATTATATATTAGAAAAATGAGCACATCAAACTTATGATTTAATGGATGTTATTGCTTAAAGCAAACAAAATATACAAAGGAGTGGATTTTAAATCAATATATGGACAAATATTAGTATCAGTGCAAGTGGTAAACAGACATAACAAGCCAAACTGGTAGAGTTGGTATTGTGAGTTGACAGAAATTTGGCAAACATTGTCCCAGCTGAAAGAGTAGACAGCAGTTAGGTTGAATTGTAGGTTAACTAAATTAATAAATGCATGCTTTAATACCAAGTTATCCTGAAGATTAGTCCAATAATTAAGAATATCAGAAGAAATGTAATAAAATATTTTGCTCCCCTCTACTACCAACTCAGTTATTTTCATTTTTATTAAGTTAACAAAGTAAAAAATGTCTTCCTTGAATTTGTTAAACAATATAAGAATAAGATCTGAATGTAATCTTCTATAGATCAGGTGAAATGAAACAGTCAAAGATTGTAATGAAACATTTCTAGGAACTATTAGTAGAAAGGATGCAGTTAATCAAAGCTTCCATTGTTTGGAAAGTAGAACCAGGCCAAGAAGAGGGAGCCTAATGGAGGAGTACAAATAGTACTGGTTAGCTTTGTGACTTGGATAATCTCTGAGGATAGTTTCCTTTTTTTCTTAATTTATTTACTTATTTTAATTTGGTATATATGACAGCAGAATGCATTTTGATTCATTGTACACAATTGCAGCACAACTTTATATTTCTCTGGTTATACATGATGTAGCATCACACCATATGTGCACTCATATATGTACCTAAGGTAATGATGACCATCTCATTCCACCATCTTTCCTGCTGAGGATAGCTTCTTTGTCTGTGAGGATTAACAGGTTTAAGTTAGATTATAAGCCTCTAAATTTCTCTGTTTCCAGAGCATTCTTCAGTTATGCTTTGTCTAGAAAGATTTGATTCTGGTCAGCCTTATGGAAATTAGGACACTGCAGGTTTAATGTGATTATCTTCTGACTCTATCACTCTCATCACTATTCTTTGGTCCTTTGCCTCTCTTTCTCTCCTCCTCACCCATACACACCCAGAAGCTAGGTGTCTTCTCTATAGACATTCTGAAGAAAAAGGAGAAAATGGAAAAGGTGTCCTATACAAAGTTTAATCAGTGAACAAGATAGAACAATAATTAAATTTTGGATCTTCAACAAAAATTTCCCAAAGGAATTTAGAGAGAAGGGAAAGCAATATATGGGAGATACTTCATTAATCTGATTAATCTGGAGGAAGATATTGGTTAATATGTCTTTTCTTTCTTTCTTTCTTTCTTTCTTTCTTTCTTTCTTTCTTTCTGTACTGGGGATTGAACCCAGGGTGCTTAACCTTTGAGCCACATCCCATATCCTTTTTTTTTTTCGATTTTTAAAAAAAATTTGAAACAGGGTCTTGCTTAGGTCCTCATTAAATTGCTGAAGCTGGCTTTGAACTTAGGATCCTCCTGCCTCGGCCTTCTGAGTTGTTGGTATTACAGATGTGCATCACCATGCCCAGCAATATTTCTTAAATTGAGTACTAGTCTCTAAAAAGGGAAGCTTAAACATGATTTTTCATAATCTATAACTGTAATCCATTGTCTATAGCCTGGCCTTGTTACATATTAAATCAGAGGTTGCCAACTCAGGTGCCTACATATGACAGTTAACAAGCTGGTCAGACACAGGGGAGTATTACAGAGAACTGGATAGTGATCATGCCCCTCTAAAAGAAATTTTTTTAAAAATCCTGCTACCGTCTGTCTAAGCAATAGATCTCAAGTTTATGACCACTGTGATAGATGGAAAAGTGCTATTTTAACTTCCAGGGTCCTTAGGAGATAGATTTCTTAAAAATGACAAGACTTGGACTTCTGCTTCTAGAAAGATGGAGCAATGAACTTTCTTGTTCTTCATACTAAGTACAACTAAAAGCCCCAGACATTATCTATAAAGTAAACATAAGAACAGTCTGAAAGTCAAAGACATGAAAGCAAACTGGTTAAGGACCTCAGGACTCAAGAAATGTCATGATCTTGAGTGCCTTGACTTTTGTTTTTGCCACACATAGTCCAAAGGCATTGTGGAAGCAGCCATTGACTCAAAAGTTTATAGGTGCAGACAAGAAAAAACAACTCTGTTTAACTAAAGGACCAGGAAAGGTTCAGTTTTGCAAAAAGAAAACTTTATACACTAACCACTGTATTCCAGCCAAACAAAAAATATTGTAACCCCATGCTCACCCCACCAGCAAAGCCAGTTGGGGAGACTTGCCAGGCTGTCAGGATGCACACCACTCTGCAGGAGTAATGTCACAGGATGCCTAGTGGAGAGTCAGAATTTTCAATACTGCCCATTGATAAAAAGGTTACCTGCTCCTTTGTGGTATCAGTGAAGGCCACTTGCAGTTCAATAATGAGGCATCCCTTCCTTTCTCAACCAGAAAGTTTTCTATGCAAGTCTAGCTGGGAGCTAGAACTATTGCTCCTGTTCAGCAGCAACAAGGAACATTTGTACACTCTGATGATGTCAGTGGAGGTCTGAGTAAGGAACCTGGACTTCTCCCACACTTGGGAATAATAAAACAATGCACTCCTTCTGCTGGAGTACTGGCAGAGAAAGACAGCTAAAACAGAAGGTTTAAATAAGACTGAGTCTCATGCATAGTACACCAAAATATCCCAATTCCAATTGATAATCGCTTGTCATACCAAGAATGAGGAAGATCACAAATGTGAAAAAAAGAGAGTCATTGTGGG